TAACTTATGGCAACCCGATGAATCCAGGTCACCCTATCATCAACAGCCTGACCCATGGCTGTGGCTTCCTTGACTGAGTCTATCCATCTGGAATGTTGTCTTCCTTTTTCCTATAGCCTTCCACCTTACAAAGTATTATTGTCTTTTCTAGTGAGTCATGCATTCTCATGCTATGTTTAAAGAACAACAGTCTCAGTTTAGTCATCTTGGCTTCTAGGGTCAGTATGGGCTTGATTTGCTCTAGGACTTATTTCTCTAGCATTCCACAGAATCCATCAAACTCTTCTCTAGCACCATATATCAAATAAGTTGATTTTCTTCCTATCAGCTGTCTTCACTGTCCAGGTTTAACAGGCATAAAGAGAAATTGCAAATTGCAAATATGATGTCTTAACAATTCTAACTTTAGTATTCAATGAAATAGCTTTACAGTTTAGGATACTGTCTAGTTTCTTCATAGCTGCTCTTCCAGTCTTCTTCTGATTTCTTGACTGCAGTCTCCATTCTGATTCATGTCTGAGCCAAGGTATGGAAAATTTTGAATTATTCTATTGTCTTCATTGTCTACTGGAAATCATCTGTGTATTGGAAATCATTATCTGAGTCTGAGAGAATGTGATTTGCACAACTGGGTTTCCATGGCTGAGGGGCAATTTGAACCTTGGTCTTCAGAATCATAGTCCAATGTTTAAACTACTACACTGTGCTGGCCTTCATAGTCAAATTATATTAAAGAATATGTCCACCTCCTCCTCCTCTTCCTTTTTATTTCTAATTTTACCTTCTCTTATTTCTTTGTAATGCTACTTTTAAAAATCCTATAAAATACAGATACATTTGAAAATCATAATGTGTCAAGGAAAAACGAGTTTTAAAAATTATTTTAATTTTAAAAAGTTACTAAGTAACTAGTTACTTTACCAAAATGAACCCAAATGAATTACTTTTATATTATAATTCTATATTATAACTCTAATGACAACTAATTACTTATGGACATTGGATTCACACAGTTATCTAATTAATTTTAGTATTTTGCAAGCTCTGATCTTCTCCTACAAAGCATGCTTCTGAAAAAGCAAGGGTTTTCTTTTCCAAGTGTATAGCCCTGAGTATGCCACCTACAATGCCTTTGCACTTAATGGTCTTCCTTTTATGAGAAAATATATTCTCCTTTGGATTGTTTTTTAAACTCTTCATACAAAAGGGCAGTGAGGGTGAATCCATTTTTCCCCCCTTCAAAGGATGAGTTCTTTGGCGATCCCTTTAGAAATCAAAAGGGAATTGCTGTAACTGATCTTCCCTTTCTACTCCTGAACCTCAAGCATAGTCACCAGTTCCCAGTGCAATTGGTCTCCTTGCAGTCAAGTTAACAGCATTGATGACAGAGGAAAAAAGGAGGAAGAAAGAAAAAGTGGGACAACACTCTAAAGTTGTATGCATAAAAAGAGACACCATTATGCTGTTGCTTGAAATAATCCAGATAAGAACAGGAAGTTCAAAGGTAAGGCTGGACCAAGTCAGTTACCATGGCAACAGGCAGGAACACCAGTGCGGAAGGGTAGGTTGGGTAATCTGAGGTCACACTCTGATCAGGTAAGTCAGAAATAGTTTGTCGGTTTGGGGAGAATAGCCAGGGGTAAGACTATGAAGCAAATGGCACTTTATGTGCCAACCTTCTATGGCCCCAAGAGTTTCTTGTCATCCCAATGAGGCTAGGGAGCTGTCAAGAAGAACAAGAGTAGACCCTGGGCAAAATACCCTCAAGCACCAGACATGATGTCCATCCAAGGACTCAGAGCTGAGCACAAGGAGCTGGGTCGAAGGAGGTGTTGCCTCAGCAGCACAGTTGCTGGGCATTTATTATCCCAGCAGTTCCTGAAGTCTTCGCTCCCAAAATATGTGTCAGTTCTTTTCTATCCTTCATCTAAATAGGGCCCAGACACTCATGCCTCCTGCTGTTGGACCTTCAATGTGCTGCTTGCTCTGGGCTTAAGCTTGGGCTAATCACTTTCTCTCCTCCCATGTTGGGAGTGACATTGGATTGGATTGATGGTTGGAGTGACATATACAGTTCCAAAGGTCCGCTCAAGGGCCATCGGGTCTATTAATTCTGCAGCCTTGCTAGATTGAATATTTTCCAGTGTGACAGTCTGAGGCTATCTGTTCAGCCAATGCTTCTTAAACTATCTGATGTGGGGGACTATTCTTATTGCCATCAAGTAGGCTTTGACATATGGTGACCCTACGAATGAGGGACCTTCAAGCCTCCCTGTCATCAACACCCCTGCTCAGGTTTTGCAAATTCAGGATGTGGCCTCCATGATTGACTATCCACTTGAAACGCAGTCTTTCTCTTTTTCTACTACTTTAAAAAAGGTAAAGATTTCTCCTTTGACAAGATTGTCAAGTGTTGTCTGCCTGTAGGGGACAGTACTCATCTCTGTTACTAAGCCAAGGGAGCCAGCATTGTCAGACTCTGTGATCATGTGGCCAGTATGACTGTACAGAATGCTGTTACTTTCCCACCAAAGTGGTAACTATTTATCTACTTGCACTTTTACATGCTTCCAAACTGCTAGGTTGGCAGAAGCTGGGATTAGTGATGGGAGCTCACCCCATCATGTAGGACTTGGGCCTCAAACTGCTAACCTGCTGATCAGTGCAATCACTGAGTCTGTAAGAGATAGCCCTCCATGCCATCTGAACTAAGAACAAAAATAGAAAAATGCAGGCCTATGACTAACATGTTCAATTTTTTTTTCTCCTGTATGGTTTTTAACACCTTGCCTGATGAAGAAGATAATGGAGCTTTGAAAGCTTGCAACATGTATATTGTGCAGTTTGGTTGGTCCAATAAAGGTTTGGTGGATTTTTGATGTCTGGGAGTATTGTATGTTGAAGTTATGGATTTGTGGAACTGAAGGGAAGCCACTGATACCTCCATGTAAGAGCTGGCTATAAAAAATAAGAAATATATATATGGACTGCTTGTTTTCATAATACTGAACAAGGGAAAGAAAATCATAAATAATGTAAAGTGACACATTTGTTGTGGTGGTGGTTGTGTGCCATCAAGTCATTCCTGATTTATGGTGACTCTAAGGCAACTCTATCATGGGGTTTTCTTGGCAGGTTTCTTCAGAGGGGTTTGCCACTGCCATGCTCTGAGGCTAAGAGAGCATAACTTGCTCAAGGTCTCCCAGTGGGTTTCCATGGCCTAGTGAAGATTAAAGCCCTCATCTCTCAAACTACTACACCACACCAGCCCTTATAAAGGCAAATAGGAACTATGAATTCATAGTGCCAGCCATTTAATGATGGCTTTAGTGGAGTCCCTTGGCTTTAGTGGAGTTCCTGTGAACCCAGAGGTGAGTTGCATTACAATTTGAAGTTTTGCATTACAATTCATTACAATGAGTTGCATTACAATTTGAAGTTTTGACCTATATGCTTTCTTCACTGATTAGCTTAGATGCCCCAATCATGGTTCTTTTATATGAAACAACAGTAGTTTTATCCAATCTGTCAGAAACAATGAGGCTAAACAGAGGAAATGCTATCAAAATGTTCATAGAATCATAGAATCACAGAGTTGGAAGAGACCACAAGTCCTACCCCCTGCCGTACAAGAACTCACAATCAAAGCACTCCTGACAGATGGCCATCCAGCCTCTGTTTAAAAACCTCCAAAGAAGGAGACTCAACCACACTCCAAGGGAGAGTGTTCCATTGTCAAACAGCTCTTAGTCAGGAAGTTCTTCCTAATGCTGAAGGGGAATATATTTTCCTGTAGTTTGAATCCATTGTTCTGGGCCCTACTCTCTGGAACAGCAAAAAAAAAAAGCTTGCTCTATCCTCAATATGATGTCCCTTCAAATATTTAAAATGGTTATCATATCACCTCTTAACCTTCTCTTCTCCAGGTTAGACATACCCAGTTCCCTAAGTCTCTACTGAGTTTATCACATGGGAAAAACTGGAAGTTTAAACGGGTAAGAACATGTGATTATCCAGTGGCAGTTAGATAGGAGCAAATGCGTGAATGGTTTTCACACACCATTGTGTGCAAAGCGCATAGAATCCAACAAGAAAGTGGCATGAACCAGCAAATAGTCATGTTTTGGAAAATATTGTGAATTCATTTCTGTTTCATGAATTCACTTTCTTTGTGCAACTGCTGTAGTGTGAAAGCTACTTGTGGTTTATTCACAGGATTATCCCTGTTTTTGTGTTTCTTGCCAGATTTCCCATGA